CATCGATAGGTATTTATTAGTAGTTATGATAATTCGATATGTTTATTTTTATGATTTTATAGTTGTAATTGTTCTGCAATAATTATTAATTATAATTGTATTATTATCACATTTATCTGTTATAATGTAATTACAATAATTATAAAAATTATAATAGTTTTATAATAATATGAAGAAGAGCTGCAGCTCTACACTTACTAATAGCACCGACAAAGCTCGCTGCAACGAGCAGGAATACATCGATGGTGACAGTATTATTATTTTTACCAATATTTTCAGTGATAATAACAAATAATTATATTTTTAGCAATATTTTCAAAGCATTCCAGTAACATCACTAACAAAAAATACCCATATTAGTAGCCTAAACGATCTTGATATTCTTGATATTAAACGCGCGTTGCATTGCCTAGAAATATCCTTCAGGTTTTTTTTTGTTCGGAGACATCTGTTTCAGGATTTTTCAAGGATCTTCAAGACTGGATGGGGATGCCGTGGTGCATTTCGTTCGTGCACTTTGCGAAGTTTCTAAGGAGGAGCTGTCAACACTTGGCAATCCGCGGATGTTCATGCTACAAAAAATTGTCGAAATTTCGTTTTACAATATGAATCGCATTCGTTTGCAGTGGTCCAGAATATGGGCAATATTAGGCGAGCATTTTAACAAGGTTTTTTTTCGTTTCGGTACTTCGTTTCGGTACTTTAATTTCGGTATTTTAAATACTTTAATTTCGTTAAACTATTTCGTTTCGGCACTTTAATCATCTATGGACCATCAAATGTTACTCAGTTAAAGTTAAAAGAGCGCATGGTAGGTCACTAGTGCGATAGAAAAATCTGCTCGGAAGGGTGTGCGAGAATTATGTGGATGAGAGATGCTCAGAATGCAGAACGACGAAACGATCGATTAAAACTTTGACGATCTGAAGTTTTGTCGTAACTTACTTTCTGCTTTTAACATATTTGGCATCCTTTCGTTGGTTGCTGCGACCAGTGCTGCGTTACTAGGCTGCTAGACTGTCGGTGATTTTGACTGTACCTTGTCCGTCCCTTTTGGGGAGGAATAGTAGGTGCACTGGGGTTCCCTTTGCGGCTTGTTGGTCCTTCGCCTTGCCTACTATCTGTCATTTTCTACTATCCCATGATGGCATCTACGTGGAAGGAGGTTACCAGGAAGTCTTATTTTTGTATAAGCTATTTTTTGGGTCCGGAGACGCTTTGACTCGTCGGCATTCAATCATATCCGGTGGAGTTCTTGGGGGAATTGATTCACAGTCTTGAAAAAGTACCGTCTTGGCCTATAAATATAAACGATTGCGGAATTCGTAATGAGAGGGGCGATGAGGGAAGAAAGAAACAATTGAAAATGAATCCTATGAAATGCCTATGTATGTGCATCGAAATGATGATATATTACTAGGCCGGCTGTAATGCAAATGAAAATATATCGCATTTTGCGGTCGATGCTCTGCGACAGCTTTCGATGAAATTTTTGGAACGCGGTGAATTGCCAAACTTCCGCTTCCAGAAGGACTTCTTGCGACCATTCGAGATTATCATGAACAAAAACAGGTCAAATTTTGTTCTTGTTTCACTGTGTATGAGACATTCTGTGTTTTGTTACTGTTTCTGCACTCGGCATGTGGGAGCATCCTAGCAGCATCACTAACGTGGGATATCCGCACTGACTGCCCGAACATTGTGAAGGTTTTCCACTACAGGCGTTCTGGCCCACAACGCTAGAAATGTCTTTTTTAAGGGGAAAAAAAGGCTTTTTGAGGAAAAAATTTAAAGATAATGTATGAAATCGAGGAAGTAAGCTTAAAAGTGCGGTGTAAAGATCAGGGATTAAATCATTTCGTTTTCTGTGAGAGATGGAGACAATCGATTTAGCTCTAATAGCACAGTATGCCCTATTGGCAGGGTTTCCAATAGCTCCATTATCTGAGAAGTATTTTGAAGCAAAGTAAGGGCAGTTCTGAATTTACGAAATTTTGGGAATTAAGCTAGAG